ACTAGGTTCGAGCTGAATGAAACTTAGGTGGACGGGGTATATCCTCTTAAAATTGCATTCCTTTAGTTTCTTACTTAAGTTATCAATTTACATGAAAAAAATTTTGGCGGGCCCGTATGTGGGTACCACGCTTACCCGGGGCCTGGGTTTGAGCCCACCCGCCTGGGCGGGGAACATTACCCCAGGATTTCAGCCTTCTAGCTTCTCAAATTCTCGAGTTATGAACTGACCTCAAAAAACTTTGGCGGGCCCGTACGCGTGTACCACGCCGGTTTTGGCGCCCATTTTGGGGATTGGGGCCGGCACGTGCATGTAGGTCAAGTTCCCGAAATTTCAGCCCCGCAGCTTTTATAGGTCCTGAGATGACAGTGCGTGACAGACGCACACACAGACACACGGACACATAGACAACCTCTCGTCAATATGCGTTTTTCGCATTGCATTGCTGCAAAAAACGCATAGAAACGGACATTATTGAAGATGTAGTCTTCTCGTGGTATTAGATCGCCAACAATACCCATCGTGCCGTAATGCTCCACATTGTGCACTAGAACACTGAGGCATTGCTGCGTGCGACCCGGGGTCTTCCAGACTTCCACATTTTCTGTTAACTTACGGTATGGTCTCTGCAAAAATTTTGGATATAATTTAAACAAAACAACATGTTCGATTAACAGCTGGAGATGCAGTGAAAACAATATGCGCACATAAGTATCGATAGGCTTCGAGAAGTCGATGTGAATGGGCATTTTTGCGGTAAACTGTCGCAAATTCACAGTGGGTGAAAGCGGTAAAACGTACAGCAGCTGGTTTTACCTCGGCTCTTGGTGGTTCCCTTCCGTCAGTTTCTCTAATTTTCGGCTTTGCAACCATACTTCCCTCGGAACCGAAAGACTTTCATTTCTGGCAAGCTACCCGTCAAAGCGTATTTACCGCCGATGGAACGCTAGTTGGCATCGTTTATGGTCAAACAATGGCTATCATCTGTGATTGAAATACAGTTTTCCAGCTCATTCCGCCCACAAATTATAGTTCCAGTCTTTCTTCAGACGTGAAGGTTATCGTTCAGGACAGATTAGCGTGGGGACCACTGTTCAGGCTAGGGTGATTTTGGCCCGCTCTCAGACGTTAGTATGCTGCTAGCTAAGCTCAGAAGCAATATGTTTGCTGCTCGCCTCACTTTGCTATTGCAACCTACATTAAGAACTAAGATCACGAGGAACTGATAAACGTAGAAGCCGAATTTACGAAATTTGGCGCGTACTGCTTATTGAGTTTAAGTTTCGAAGATTTCAAATTTTATACTGTTTTCAGCTTATAGATGAACTAAGTTTTTTCGGCCTCAAGTTAAAATTAAAGACGTTGGAGATCGAGGAAATGATTTCTGTTTTGAAATTAGAAAACTGAAGTTCACTAGCACCACTGGATACCAAGTTGCCAAAATTTCAGCGTGTATTATTTATCGCATATCTTTCAAATTAAACTTTCCGAAAGCGCATATGTATTTATACTCAAAAATGCGCGAGAAAAACAAACGTCTTTAAGTTCAGTGATGGTAGCATGCTGGCCCATGTATTCCATGGTATGAAATAGTAATGGCTTATCTAAGAAAAGATTGAGATTCCCGACATGGCTTGGTAGCCCACTTGTTAATATCACAAGCGCTATATCGTCCAGTGGTACCATTTCCTTCGAAAGTCCTGAAATTAGTTTGCTTAATGGCTGTTACCTAAAAAGACCAAAATTTTCTATTCGTTGCCAGCACTTCAGTCTTATGTTTGTCGGCAGCGCTCAGATCGGTTCTT